CACACACACACACACACACACACACACACACACACACGAGGCATCTGACTGACTTAGGGCGCTCTGGCATCTGGGCCACAGCAGCAAAAGCACCGGTGGAAGGCACGGGAATCGTGGTTCTTGTGCCCTCTAGTGGTCAGAATAGACCTAGCAGCCCCGTGCGGAGAAGCTAATGTAGGCACCCCCAAGCCACCCCACCCCACCCCAGTGCTCTTGGAGCCTTTGCAGAGTCCTCCTTTGCGCTCCCCCCCCAAGCCCAGCATGCTCACACCTTGACTTTGGCCTTATAACCTGAGCAGGCCTCATCCAAGCTGTCCCAACTTAAAAAAAAATGTATTTACGTGTGTGCACATGTCTATGTGAGCTCTCTCTCTCTCTCTCTCTCTCTCTCTCTCTCTCTCTCTCTCTCTCTCTCTCCCCTCCCCGCCCCTGTGTGTGTGTGTGTGTGTGTGTGTGTGTGTGTGTGTGTGTGTGTGTGTGTGTCCCTTCATCGTTGTTGACTCTCAGGCATTTCCTGCGCGGGTATTGATTCCCCTGGAGCTGGCGTTACAGGTGGTTGTGAGCCACCATATGGGTGCAGGGAAACAAGCCCAGGTCTTACCGGAAGAGCTGAGTGCTCTTAGCCACTGAGCCATCTCTCCAGCTCCCCTGGTCCATCCCAATGCCGCACCCCGAATTGCCAGCTTGGTCTGTGCTGGTACAATCTGTCCCTCCCTACCCGTTACCCCACAACTTTATGACCTTCTGTGTGTACTTCATTTCGCTTTTATGGCTTTTGGAGCAATTTTAACTCCCAGTTTATTTTTACAAAAGAAAACAAAATTACAGTTTTAAGACAACAAACAAACAAACAACAACAAAGTGTTAGTTTTATTCTTCTGAGATTGTCTTCTGAACTTTAGAGGGACACATAAATGGCCGCCCAACCTGGGACACGTACATCCACATACAGCCTGAGAAAGCTTAAAAAGGGGGTTCTAGACACACAAAACAGAGCCAAGAGCAGCTTCATACTTCATGTCTCTCAGGCAGGCTGTAGTACAGAAAACACGTGGCGGCCTGCATGCTTGAGCCG